TCTGTCAATGACCCTAATCCCAATAATCACAGTTGGGTTTTTTTTTTTTTTTTTGCTTTTCAAATGGCTGCCAGCTCCCATGGTTTATAATTTGCTTCTCTTGTAATTTCTTTCCACCGAGTCTGCAAATTGCCCTCTTGTAGACTCCAGAGAGGAGCTGAGACGTAGGCCTCCTCTGTGCCTCTGCCATACACTGGTGCCGAGAGGCCTTGAGCCTTTTAGGATCTGCATATCCTTCTGTTGACTCTTCCTCGAATGGCTACACGAATGGCTGTATGTAGACAATTGGTAGGTTGCTTTTATTAGTTTACATGGGTGATGGACTTTGAAATGTACAATTGAGGATCTGTTATTGTTGCATTTGTCCCAGCTGTAGCAGATAAAATGTGATATTTGCTGGAAAGGGCACACATTTGGACGCAGCCAGCCCTGAGTTTCTGGCTGACTTTTGCACTAGCTCCCAGGCCGTGGACGCACCCACCAGCCTTGGTTGGACTTCCTTGTCTGTGGAATGAAGGTAATACTTCCCAGACAAGGTTGATGGCCAGATTAGTAATAAGAGTAAAGCGCTTAATAAAGGGCGTCATCAGCTCCATAAATGTAGATAAAATACAGGTTATAAAAGCAGGGCTTCGAATACGTGCAATTATGGGCTCTCCCTCATGTGCTTTTCGGTGTACCTATGATGGTGGTTATGTATGCTGAAAAGTATTAGCTGTTTATATCTGGCCTATTCAGTGACTGAAAGGTGTGTTTTTTCTTAAAGCCTATAGTGGCTGTTTAAAAATCTGTCACGTATCCAACATTTAACATTGGAGTGCATGAGGCCACTCTGCAAAAATTAGAGAACATTTGCATACCTGACAGTTGTATAATATAACATCTTCTTACGGCCAGATCGCATCTTCAGGACATGTGTCTGAGTAACAGGTGATTCCGGGCGTTAGAGACAAGCGGCTCGCAGGAAGAGCCATCACAGACCCTTCCTCCCTGAACAGAGCAGCCAGTAGCTGTGTGTGTGTGTGTGTGTGTGTGTGTGTGTAGTTTGGGGTGTACATGCAGTGTTGCTGCTTGTACTGTCCTTTCGTACTTGCCTTCCAGCTGTGCTTAGAAGCACGGGTTGAGGTTAGGTTCTTAAGATCCTGATCCTTCAGGTTTGTCAACAGGACAGGAGTGAAACTTGACCTCGATTTTTTGAGGATTTGGGGCTCATTTTCTTCTCTGCATGCAAAGAGTGGCAATCACCTGGTCCATCTTAAAACCGCTGGTTTGCTGCTGGGCTTCCCCCTGGCGCAGCCACCTCGTCCTGGAAGCCTCTGGCTGGGAATGGAGATGCTGACAGCCTTGTTTGCTGAAGGGTGACAAGGCACCCTTCTGTAAAGCTGTGCTTCTTCAGCCTGCCGTTGTGCTCAGGTGTGTCCAACACACCAGCTTTGCAGAGGGCCGTCATCTCCCTCGCCCAGCAGGTTTCCGTACCGGGAACAAGATGTACAGAGAGACAGCTCCATGAAGGAAAACGGAATGTAACAGGTGCATATGCCACACGGTCTTCATGGTTAGCTTGCCTTTCTTGGTTATTTATTCATTAAAGATTTATATATTTATTTATTTTATTGGAAAGTCAGATTTACAGAGAGAAAGATCTTCCGTTCGATGATTCACTGCCCAAGCGGCCATAACGGCTATAGCTGAGCTAAAACCAGGAGCCAGGAGTTTCTTTCAGGTCTCCCACGCAGGTGCAGGGTCCCAAAGCTTTGGGCCGTCCTCTACTGCTTTCCCAGGCCACAAGCAGGGATCTGGATGGGAGGCAAGGCCACCGAGATTAGAACTAGCACCCATATGGGATCCCGGTGGATGCAAGGCGAGGACTTTAGCCACTAAGCTATGGTGCTGGGCCCTGGCTTCTCTTAAGGTACAGCATGCTATATTCAAGAGGTTTTGGGAAAGAATGTAATGAAAAAGATGAGTTTATTGTGAAGAGCTTTGAATTAATCTATGGATTTTAAAAAATATGTATCTTATTTATTTACTTGTAAAAATTCATCTGAAAAACAGGGTTACAGAGAGGGGGGAGAGAGATGTTTGATCCACGAATTCCCTCCACCAGATGGCTTCCAGGGCTGGAGATGCCCACGCCAAGGGCAGAGGCTGTAGCCTGCTGTGCCGCAGCGCCTGCTCCCACTGTTTTCCTCATACTTGCTTTCCACAAACTTGTTGAAGACCTTTCATCTGTGTGAATTTCAAAATTGTTATTTTTGGCACTAGAAAAGAAACTTGTCTTTGAGCTGTGTTTCCTGCAGACTTTTTTGGGGAAGTACTTGTGTTTTTAATGACTTTCTCCTCGTTGATACAGACGTTCTGTGAGAGCCCTGGGAAGCCTCCGAGGGCATCCTCCTCTGAGCATTGGGAAGTGGGTGAAGCTTTCTCCTTTCCTTAACATCCGGTGCCCTTGGAGGTCTGATGGACAGGCTGCGTTTGGAGTGGACAGTGTGAGCAGAGTGGAGAGGGTCTGCAAGGAGGCTTTGAAAGCTTCCTGGAGAATGCCTCTGAGGGAAAAAACCCTGCACGGAGTCTAACAACTTTTTTTTTTTTTAATTGCAAAGTCAGATTTACACAGACGAGAGAGATAAAGAGAAAAATCTTCTGTCTGCTGGTTCATTCCCCAAGTAGCCACAACGGCTGAAACTGAGCCAAAAGCTTCCTCCAGGTCTCCCTTGTGGGTCAGCGTCCCAAGGCTTTGGGCCATCCTTGACTGCTTTCCTAGGACACAAGCAGGGAGCTGCATGGGAAGTGGAGCTGCCGGGATTAGAACTGGCACCCATATGGGATCCTGGCGCGTGCAAGATGAGAACTTTGACCACTAGACTATTGCGCCGGGCCCTTTAAAGTTTTAAAGTACGGGTCTCTGGATCCTGTGCCCTGGAGTTGCACCTACAGGTGTGGGAAGGAATTTCCCTAATTAGGCTACAAGACTGGAGCAAAGTGAAGATACTCCAGTTCTGACTCTTGTTTACCTTTGTGATTTGGTCTGAGCAGTGCTTGTATCTTCCAGCCACAAACCAGGTTTTCTAATGAGTTTTTTTTTCTTCTTCTTCTTCTTTGTTAACAATTGAAAGAGTGAGGCGTTCATGGGGATTCTGTCTTTGTTGTTTGCGTCCCTAATGCCTGCAACAGTTGGAGCTGGGCCAGGCTCTGGGCAGGGGCACAGTTAGGGTCTCCCACAGGGCGCTCTCACCAGCCCCCACTGTGCGCATTAGGAGGAGGGAGCTGTGGGACTGGATACCCTCCTCACCACAGTACCTGTCCTCGCGTGGAAATATTTGATGGTGGCCTGCTGTGTGCCCCCTGCTGCTCGGAGGGCAAGACCCAAGGGAGTCTCTCCTGAAGCCTAAACAGGACCAAAGCACCCGCGTGAGGGAATGTGTCAGACAGCTCACGGGAACTGGGTATTATGAAAAACCACGAATGGGGCCCGGCGGATGAAAGTCCTTGCCTTGAACGTGCCAGGATCCCATATGGGCGCTGGTTCTAATCCCAGCAGCTCCACTTCCCATCCAGCTCCCTCCCTGTGGCCTGGGAAAGCCTTGGGACCCTGCACCTGTGTGGGAGACCCGGAAGAGGTTCCTGGTTCCCGGCTTTGGATCGGCGCAGAACCGGCCGTTGCCGTCACTTGGGGAATGAATCATCGGACGGAAAGATCTTCCTCTGTTTCTACTCCTCTATGTATATCTGACTTTGTAATAAAATTAAATAAGTCTTAAAAAAAACACCCATGAATGAATCTTAATATTATTGGCTCACAAACAAGCTCATCCCTTCCATTTTCACAAAATGTTTTGTGTACCCTAATGCTACCAGGTGGTGGCAAAAGGTAGGGAGAAAATACTGGAAGGCAGGTGGGAGCCTCCTGGCTCTGGGCAAGGCCATTCCCCTGCTAGGAACAGCAGGCGACACCTGGGAAGTCTTTAGGCCTGGCAGGTGGGCGTGGAGCTGGGGGCCCTGAAGCCTTTGGGGAGGAAGTCGGGGGGGGGGGGGGAGTGAAGACTGAGAGCCCATCAGGGAGGATTCCAGAACGACAGGGGTCCTGAGGAGGGCGGGGTTGGCTGTGGAAGACCGTGAGGAGTTTATGGAGAGGGCAGGGGTTATGCCCCGAGCTGTCCCTTCAAGCATAGTTTTAAGATTTTAAGTTTGTGAGTTCAGATGCATTACTGCGGTGAGCTGAGGGGAGGAGGTTGGTTTTCTAGGAAGGGAAGAGCTTAAGAGCAGATTGGTTATTTAAAAGTTAAGTTTCCTCTGTGGAAAGGAGGTACTCCAGTATCAGATTGCTTTTGTTTTTAGGGATTAAAGTCCACACAGCTTTATTATCATGGAAAACGGCTTGCTAGGCAAAATGCACTTGTTTTTCTCTCAATTTCTTGGAAAGTCAGATAGTCTACTTTCAGTTGGTGATGTGGAACTTCCGGCTTGGGAGATGGAAACAAGCAAACCCAAGGTGAATTTCAAGTAAGGGAAGTTGTCTTGGGATGCAGCTGCGTAATCAATGCTCAGGAGTCAGTTGTGACACAGAATGTGAGGGACATTGGCAGGCATGTTTATAGTTCCAGGGCAGTCAAGCAGTTAAGAGCTACCAGTTTGTGATCTCTGAAGGCAAGATCCCATTGACTCCTCAGGCGCCTTCTTGTGCTTTAGAGAGTGACAAGTTTGGGTCAGCGTTTGGCTTGAACCTAAATGCTGAATTATCCTCGGAGCTGGTTTTATTTATGATTACAAACATCTTTTGGGAACGGAATGAGTTCCAAGAGACTGCAATGTGTCATCCAGTGGGGTTTCAGGATCCACGGGGTATCAACTGACACGGGGCGATTTTACCTGCAATGAGCAGCCCCGGAGGTCTCCCAGGTGTGGCGCTGAGCTGGTGGATGGGGTGCAGGGGTTAGTCTTGAGCTCTGAGGAGCAGGGCTGATTGACTAGGCTCCTGTGTCTGCCCTGTGCTTACCCAGGATGAGCTGGATGAGCTCCGTGCTGAGATGGAAGAGATGAGAGACAGTTACTTGGAGGAAGATGTGTACCAGCTGCAGGAACTTCGGCGAGAACTGGACCGAGCTAATAAGAACTGCCGAATCCTGCAGTACCGTCTCAGGAAAGCTGAACAGAAGAGCCTGAAAGTGGCCGAGACGGGGCAGGTGGACGGCGAGCTCATCCGAAGCCTGGAGCAGGACTTGAAGGTGAGCTGGGGCGAGGCGCTGGACGGGTGGGCGAGGGCTGCCGGGGATGGGGTCGCAACTGAAAAACCTAGCTCCAGACCAGTATAAACATTCTTGGTTTACTTTAGGGCTTAGAAATGATGTGGATTTATGTAACGTTGACAACCTGAAATCTGAAATGGTTGGTTATATAAACTGAAGTAAACTTGAAAAAAGGAATAAGTCAGATGAATGGATTTATAATGAAAAGAATATTTTCCAGTTGGTCTGACGATTGGATAGAAACGCTGTGGGCTTTATGTTGCTGTTGTTGTTTGTCTTTTATCTGGAAGGAAGAAGTAGAGGGAGCGTGCCCTTCCATCTGCTGGTTCTTTTCCCAGATGGCTGCATTGGCCAGGCTGAAGGGAGGACGCTGGACCAATGTCCAGGTCTCCCCTGTGGGGACAGGGGTGCTAGCACCTGTACCGTCTTGGCTTTCCCAGGCACATGAGCAGGGTTTTGTACCCAAAGCTTGAACGATTGTTCCTATGGGGATGCTGACGTTTAGGCAACAGCTTTAACCCACTGGGCTACAACACTGGCTCCCAGAAAGTCTTAAACATCAGTTTGGCCAAGGTCACTTTTTAAAAAGTTGTCCGTATTTGTGGCTGGCGCTGTGGTGTTACGCTAGTGCTTTGTGTGGGCACTGGTTCAAGTCCTGGATGTCCACTTCTGTCTGACACAGCTCCCCTGCTGACGCCCCTGAGAAAGCAGAAGAGGCTGGCCCAAGGGCTTGTGCTCCCACACCGCAGGGGAAACCTGACGATTTCCTTGGTTCCTGGCTTCGGCCTTCCTAGCCCCTTCAGTTGTGGCCATTTGGGAAGTGAACCAGCAGGTGGAAGCCCCCAGCTCTGCCTTTTAAATAAATAAACCAAGTCTGTGAAAATAAACAAGTACATTAAGCTGTCCACATCGCCATTTTTATTGATGCTTAGTTTTCTAGAAAAGTTGAAAATTTTATAATGTAAGTGAAATTTCGATGGGTTGTCTTAACTAAGGAAATGGGACCATCCCTGGTTGCCGAATGCGTCTTTGAGACCCACTGGCAAAAATGGTAACACAGGGATGAAATCCTAGCATTTCTGTCATTTGCTGTCTTCCTGGTCAGCAGAACTTCTCTCATGGCCTGGTTATCAAATTGCTTATCTAGAGACGAGTCATGCACAGTGTCCTGCTTGTGGGGTGCCTGTGACATCCCGTCCAGCCTGACATTAAAACACAAAATGGGTCTTTGGAATCCTTGTCCGTTATACCACTAAGACAGTTTTGTCATTTTGTACTATGAAGCATGATCTGTATTTCTGCTATAAGCTTCTTTTTCTCATTTGTTTTCAGAAAATAAAAATATGTGAGTTGGGTAAACATTTAGAGCTTGACTACCCTGAACATCTACATACAGAATTAGATTTTTTGTTTTGTTTTTGCCATGCAGGTGATAAGGAAGTGTTTATTTGTGTCTTGTTGCTGCTTTGAATGTATCACTTCAAACCCCTGAACTTGAGCATTCTTGGAGGTTCTCTGTTGCAGATTGTGCGAAAGTAACTTTTCGGTCCAGATGAAAGCCACCTTCCCATTTACCATGTTGCCTTCTTGCTTTCAAACCCTGAGTTAAATATCTGCCATCTGAAATGCCTGGGACCAGAACATTTTGTATTGAGGGTTTTTGGGTTAGGGCTGTTCAAGCCGTAACACCCTATCCTTTCTCTCTTTTTTTTTTTTTTTAAGATTTTTAAATTTTTATTGAAAAGTCAGATTTACAGAGAGAAAGAGACAGAGAGGAAAGATCTTCTGTCAGCTGATTCACTCCTCAGGTAGCCACAGTGACAGAAACTGAACCAAAGTCAGGAGCCTGGAGCTTCTTCCATGTCTCCCACATGGGTGCAGGGTGCCAAGGCTCTGGGTGGTCCTCTACTGCTTTCCCAGGCCACAAGCAGGGAGCTGGATGGGAAGTGGTTTAGCTAGGATACGATAACAAGACACAGATAAAAATGTCATCCCAGCATGTGCAAGGCCAGGGCTTTGGCCCCTAGGCTATTGCACCGGGCCCTGCCCTGTCCTTTTAAACGCAGGTCTGTTGGACCTGGCGCGATGGCCTGGCAGCTGAAGTCCTTGCCTTGCACATACCAGGATCCCATTTGAATGCCGGTTCATATCCTAGCTAAATGAATTCCCATCCTGCTTGTGGCCTGGGAAAGCAGTCAAGGATGGCCCAAAGCCTCGGGACCCTGTACCCACATGGGAAGTTCTTGGCTCTTGGCTTTGGATCGGCACAGCTCCAGCTGTTGCAGCTATTTGGGAAGTAAATCATCTGACGGAAGATCTTCCTTTGTGTCTCTCCTCTCTGTATATCTGACTTTGCAATAAAACACACACACACATAAAACAAAAAAACAAACAAGCAAAAAAGAAACACAGGTCTGTTAACCATAGCAGGGTCTTTACTCTTAAGTCACACCGTAGCTCTGGGTGATTTTGCTGGCACAGTTGTTTGAATTCTCCTTAGCATGCACAAGGCAGAAACCTGATGGTGGGTTTCCCTGTGGTCACCGCAGGTAGCCAAAGACGTGTCTGTCAGATTGCACCATGAACTGGAGACGGTGGAGGAAAAGCGTGCGAAAGCCGAAGGTGAAAATGAAACTCTCCGGCAGCAGATGATCGAGGTGGAGATATGCAAACAGGCCCTCCAGAATGAGCTGGAGAGACTGAAAGAGGTGAGTTCTGCGTGGGATGAGGCTTCCCCCCGAGGCTCGGTCACCAGTGGCCTGCGTCCCATAGTCCGATCTGGTGTGCTCCTAACGGGTCAGCATAAGATGGACTTTGCGTCCCGCTCACGAGCGGAGATGGTATATGTCTCTCCAGCTTGGTTAAAAAAAAAAAGGCAAAACCCCACACCAAATAAATCCCTCCAAAGGCAAGAAGACTGCGGGACAAAAGCTGCCTGTTACTTGCAAAGACTGAAGTGTTTATGATCTAGTTTCCTCAAAAGGTTTCTTGAGCTCTTGGTCTGATAATTCCCTTTCCGATCATCTGGCCGTTGAGTCCCTGGGGGTGTCCAAGTTCGTATGACTAGAATGCAGAATGAAGCAGTAGGTGTTTCCCTGCCTTCCTCCCCTTGGTCCTTGCCTTGCTTTCTACTCCCCCATCAGAGGGACGGAAAGCTTGCATCTGTGGGTTCGCTCCCCTGACCTCTGCCTGCCGTCAGCATGCAGCGTTGGGAAAGCCACCCAGGTCCACTGTGTGGCTGGCAGGAATGCCTTGAGCTGCTGCTGCTGCTTCCAGGGTCTGCCTCTGCAGGAAGCTGGCATGGGAAAAAGGAGCCCAGAATTAAGCCCAGCCTGATATGGTTTTCGTTTTGTTTTGTTGTTTTTTTTTTTTTTTGCCTTTGTTTTTTTAAGTCTTTATTTCCAGTGGTTTACTTTCTGGGTTAGAAAGTACAATTGTCTGATACAGCTGTGAAAAACAATTATGCACGCATATAAAAACCTATATTTTTGTTATTCAACTGATGTAAATATAGATGCATTTACGTTTTGGAGTGGGATTGTTCCAACCAAGTGGTATAGAAAATGGATGGACATACATGTTTTCATTTGTGTATGGCTACTCAAATCCTGTTTTCTTGTTGATTTCCATTATAAGATGTAAGTTCAATATTTCCTTGGAAAACCTCCTGCATATTGATGACAATGAAATTAAAAACTTGGTGCTGGCATTCAAGAGCCGCTTCCAGCTGGCGGGTTATCTGCTGACAGCCTCACTTAGCAGTTCATTTTTCCTCTGGCTCACTTTCCTGATTCACACAGCCATTCCCCGTCCATCCAGCTGTTGAGTGCCACACTCGGTGCAGGCCCGGGCCTAGGCCCGAGGCTGGAGATAACGGATGCGAACGCAGCAGACAAAGCAGAAAGCGCCCAGCATGTGGAGGCTTCTCCCCCGCTCCGTGCTCATTTGTTCATTCCGTCCTTGAGTCATGTCCTCTGGAATGCCAGCTCCATGGGAAAGGGGTAGACATTTGGCAGTCTGGTTCATGGTGGGGTGCCTGTGCCTGGTCCCCTTGGCTAAGGAGGGGTCCAATGAGAGCCTGGGTGGTCAGCTGTGACCCCGGAGGCTTCAGGAGGGGAGAGTTAGCCGCTGAGAACTCGCCTCCATCCCGCTTAACCTCCGGGTGGCTTGTCCCGTGGGAAGCAGCTTATCCTGGTGGAGGGGCACTTCCCTTTGCATTCCCAGGGCCTGCTGCTCTCCTTCCTCCTTTTGCTTTGTTTGCCTTTACCTGCTTTTCTTTCCAGGACTTCCAGATTAAACCTGACCTGGCAGGTGGAAAAAACTTTGTCGGTATCGAATACTGTATCATAAAACACACAGCTTGGAAATAAATTTTGTAAAGCTTGGTAATATTTTATGAAGTTTGGTATGAGTGTGTGTTTGTGTGTAACTGTGTAAATGTGCATGTGAAATATATACACACCTGATGTACTTCAGAAAGTTTGTGGGAAGATGAAATGAAAAGATATGTGTATTTTGATGCAAAAATTTGCAAATCCTTGTATATAAGGAGTCTTTAAGTAGTTCATGGAGAATCTGCTTTATCAGCAACGTGTGTTTGGGTTTCAAACTTTTCTGTGCCAAAATAAACTTACTACTTTCCATTTTTGATAAACTCAACAAAAAAGCGTTCATTTAAGAGAGAGACAGAGAGCGCCTCCTGATCGCAAGTTCACGCCTGCTGTGTCGGGAGCTGCAGCGGGGAACTCAATCCAGGTGTGCCATGTGGGGAGCAGAAACACAGCCGTTGGAGCCGCGAGTGTGCCTGCCAGCATCTACTTTGGCAAGAGCCTGGAGCTGGGAGTGGAACCTGGGTACTCTGAATGGGGGACACAGGCATCCGAGGCACTGTTAGCTGCCCACCCTTCCTTCAACTCTTTGTAGTACCCCTGTTTTTTTTTTTTTAATAAATTTTATTTTGTTAAAGATTTATTTATTTGTATTGCAAAGTTAGATATACAGAGAGGAGAGACAGAGAGGAAGATCTTCCATCCTATGATTCACTCCTCAAGTGACTGCAACAGCTGGTACTGCGCCAATCCAAAGCCAGGAGCCAGGAACTTCCTCCAGGTCTCCGACGCGGGTGCAGGGTCCCAAAGCTTTGGGTCGTCCTCGACTGCTTTCCCAGGCCACAGGCAGGGAGCTGGATGGGAAGTGGGCTGCTGGAATTAGAACCGGTGCCCATATGGGATGCTGGTGCATTCAAGGCAAGGACCTTAGCTGCTAGGCCACAGCGCTGGACCCACCGCCTAAGTTTTTAAGCAAGCATAAGACTCCTTTTTCTAGATTTCAATAGATTTGGGATGCACCTGGCATCTCTTTGGAGGAAGAAATGATTACACCTGCTCTTGACATTGCAAATAAGGTCAGGGTAGGATGAGGCTCTTCAGGGAGCCTGTTGGAGGCTTGTGGATGTGAGGAGGAAGTAGAGGGGTCAACCCCTCCTTGCTGTGGGTTAAAGTTACTCCGAGGGATCACTGGACTGGGGTGAAATAAGGATTTTCCCTCTAGAGTTGCAGTCAGACTGGTGGGACTGCATAGCTGAACCAAACTTGTGAATGCGTCCTCAAACAGGAGGGAAGACTCAGGAGGGTGAGACGCCGGGGAGGGAGGTGATGCCGAGCAGAGGACAGCGGCCCCCAGCAGCGTGGGGTAAGGAGGTGCTAGAGGGCATGTTGGGAAGTGGCAGCTGTCGTTGCGAGGAATCGGTACCAAGCACAGGCACCCTGTGTCTCCGATTCCGAGGGTCTGGCTATCCCCGCTGAACCTGCTTCGTCTTGTTCAGCTCTGAAGTTGTATAAATGAGCCTGTGACCTTCTGAGAAAGGCAGGGAGAGCTCACACACTGTTGTTGCTGAAGAACAGCCATCTGCCGCCCTGCCACTGAAGCCCCGGAGGACGGACCAATCCCACAGAAATTTCCCTAACACTTGTGCAGTCCAGTACGCGTGCACCACGCCCCTGCCCCGCCCCAGTTTGTATTCCCTGTCTGTGTAATCATCTTGTGTCCTTTTGCCTGCTCTTAATCCAGTTTCTGCTGCTGTAATGAAATGCTTGAATCTGGATCCTTATCGAAAAAGAAGAGTGACTTGTATTGTAGCTCATCGCGTTGGGGACCTCCGTTGTGCATCGCAGTGTGGTGGGCACAAGGGGCCTTCCTGCGTGGGGCCTCATTTTATAACTACTCATTCTCGGAAGAACTGGTCACCGTGTCACTTTCCACTAAGTCCCTCCTCTGAAGATTTCTCTGTCTTGACTCTTTTGTTGGGGGCCCAATTTCCACACCGAACCCTTAGCCCTTGCCAAAGACTTGAGGTCCTGCTCCGCTGCTTTTGTAGTCTCTTGCTGCTCCATGATGTGGTATGAATGGCAGACACAGTGTGGCATTCCCGTTATAGCAAATGTCCTGAGGAGGTGAATTCAGGGAGCAAACAATGAGAAGTTTCTAGGGGTGGGGGACAGAAGGAATTGCTTAATGGAGATTAGAATTCCTTTGGGGTGATGAAATATTTAGGAACCAGATAGAAGTCGTGGTTGCACCCTCACTCCAGTATGGGAAGTTGGCATCCCACGTGGTGGTTTAACTTCTGCCACAACACTGCCAGACCTTCTCCCAAACACTGAAACTTGAGATGCGTGTGTGCGCGCGCGTGAGTGTGCAATGTCTGGAATGGGAAGAAGCCGTCTTCATTGTTGCTGCTCCTACAAGCTTTCTTCATTTTTTAAAAAATATTTATTTTCATCTACTTGAAAGGCAGAGCAATAGAGAGATCAAGATCTTCCATCTGCTAATTCGTTTCCCAAATGGCTGCACCAGCTAGAGCAGGTCCAAGCTAAAGCCAGGAGCCAGAAACTTCACCCAGGTCTCCCATGAGTGCGGCTAGGATCCGAGCCTTTGAGCCATCCTCTGCCGTCTTCCAGGTGAAAGTTGGGCAGCTGAGCAGCTGGGACTCAAAGCAGCACTCTGGTATGGAAGGTGTGTGTCCCAAGTGGCAGCTTAACTTGGTGGCCCACGCTGTCCTGGAGCTTTTTGCGTGTCTCTTGTCCCAACCAGAATGGGGCATGTAGAGCTGAGTCAGGCTCAGACCTGGAAATCCAGAGTGGAGAGGAAGAACCAGGGCAGCCATTGCAGAAGGACTTGGTGTAAATGTTTTTGAATGTGTAAGCTGTAAATGGAACGTTTTTGGTGGCTGCAAAGGAAGAGGTGTGTGTTCGGTTAAACAACCACAAATACCTCTAATGCCTGAGAATCAGTTCTTGGCAGGATCACAAGAAAATCCTGTTCAAGTCTTGTGTGGACTAACAGAGTCCTGTAGTCTTCTTTCCAGCACTGCCAGGTGGTCTCCTGGGAGCTGCCTCGTCTGTGCCTTGCCCTGTTGTGCCAGGCCGGGATAAGTTTGTTTTCTGGCTGGTGGGTTGCTGGGGTGGAGGCCCAAGGTTTCGCCAGATTCAAGTGATTGAAATGCTTTGATTTCCTAAGCTACACCAGTGAATGCTTCTGGTGCCCAAGGAGTGCTTTTACTACCACTTTGTGTGATGGTTGTTATGTTGGAAAAAGAAAATGGGGGGGCAAAGAAGGCATGTCTGTGTTTGTGGGTACACGTGTGTGTTTGTATTCTGTGTGTGAAGGAAGAAGCAGATCTGTCAACTTGAATCAGTGCGCAGGGCCA